AAGACACTTACCCCCGCTTAGTTCATTTCAGTTGAACCAGTGATATTAGTAAAATGCATAAATCATTAAATTTTGAAATGTTTTTTGTAAGTCAAATATTGCTCTTATCACTCAGAAAATCAATCGTCATGGAACTTCTCGAACGCTGCTCTCATTTTTCATATATATGAAAAACCTGCCCTGTGCCAAGATTATTTACACCAGTAGAAACATCATTGAAGACAAAAGAAAGCAAGAGATCCCCCTCTTATTCCCATTTCCAGCAGGAAACGTGAAAGCACAGGTAACTCATGAACTGTGGAGCCACAGTCGACTCAGTTGTGAGAAAAAAGTAACACTCTGATTCCCTAAATTTTATCTGTTCTCTAGGCATATTTTGGCCATGAGAATCAGTGCTGCCTCTAGACTTACCTGTATTTTCTAGTAAGTATCTTCCAGCCTGTGAAATGCCAAATATTTTCTCTTCAGCTCTCTTGACTCTCATTGACTCCAAGTTCATTTGCTTAATTTAGACAGATTATCTCATATCTTGTCCAATATATGCATCCTCCTTCTTACTTAGTTTGTTTTATTCAGAGTGTATCTTCCTAATATTGAATATATTTGTTAAATACTGTGTGCCCTCTGGTTTCATGTCTTAAGATATGAACTAGGTTCTGGGGATTTAATTCAGCAGTGTAAGCAACTCACTGGCCGTGTGAGGTCTGTGTTTGATCACCAGTGCCAAAAAAATAAATAAAACTCTAAAACATGAACTAAATGTGAATGAAATTAAGGAACTGAGGCTCAGAGCTCACACATCTGGCAAGCCTCACTGAATGAATGAGTGGTAAGGAAATGGAAGTGTTGCTTGAGAAATAAGGTGAGTCCAGCAAATTACATGAGAGTGACTCTGAAGACCAACATTTTGGGCAGCTGCCTACTCAGCTGCTCAGTGCCCCTTATTTGTAGGAAGCTGTTTAACTGCTGTACTGATTATACTGATATATATTTAGCTTTGGTTTCAAATACTGGACAGTATCACAACAGAGGCAGAGAAGAGGGATTGGAAGAAAAAGTATTTGTTGTGGTGGAAGATAGTTTTGCCAAAAGAATCTTGCAATGGAACATTTGTGTGCTTTTTCTGAAAATGATAGCTTCAGGATCATCCTTGGAAGGCATGGATTCTTCTTAACTGCACAGAAATGGTGAGCAAACACATCATTGCTTTATGTATATTCATTCATATGGGATTGCAGGCTCCATTTCCATTTAAATTTCAGAATTTAACATAGAATACTTAGTGTACCAGTTCACACTGAAACATCAATGAATTGTGAAGCGCTAGTCCAATGGTTTGCTTAAAAAAATTCCTCATTCTTTTTCATGCATGGCCTTTAAAAACTGGTCAGATTCCCTTTTAGAATACCTCTCCAGAATTTATATGATACCTCTAAATGGAGGAATTATGTCACTCAATATGTATATGTTAGTTAATTCCCTGTCATCTTAGGAGGTCAATCAACATTTACTTTGTTTGTTCGTAGTGGAGATATAATGCATGGCTTTTGACCTGGCTACATCTTCAGCCGTCAATTTGTTTTTTGTTTTTTTTTTTTGTTTTTTTTTGTTTTTTTTAGAGAGTGGATCTTGCTAAATTGCTAAATTGCCTGTGCTGGACTTGGTTGCCCAATTCTTCTGCATCAGCTCTCCAGAGTACTCGGATTAGCAATACATGAAAAAAACAACCTCTTTAGAAATGAAAGATTCATTCTTCTGTTTTGTATCAGTGTTTCTCATGCTCCTGCTGGAAGTCACATGACCATGCTTTCTTCATTTCTTCTTGTGTTAAGGACAGAACTTTAATTTTATATTGTACTCCATGGCCTTCTCTCTGTCCTCACTGTATTTGTGACCGTGGGACCTGAAAAGAGTGAAATATGTCCAGCATGTAAATTGTGGAGTTAGACTTTGGGAAAGAATTCTTTTCATAAAAATCAGCACCAAAATAAATTGATTACTTTTTCCTATTAAAAATAGTATTAGTATACATAGTGCACAAATGTCAGGTAGTCTCACACCCACAAGTCACCAATATGGAATTCCATTTAAAAAGTTTGAAAGTCAGCATTATATGAAAATATAGCTAGACTAATTATTTATGGATAGAAGTGAGTTTTTTGGCTGTCTTGTGTGCCCAAGAAAATACTCACATGGGGTTCACTGTAATATTCTCTTTGCAACTGAGCAAATTAGAGTCAAGCACAAGGATGAAATAACCTACAGAATAAAAAGTTTTGTCAGCTACAACTCGAGGAGGATTAATGTGAAGCATATATAAAGAGCTAAAAAATTAGACTCTCAAAATAAAAGACAAATATCAAAAAATATAGAGTGGGACTCCTCTCAGAAGAAGAACCACAAGTACGCATTACATTTATTTAAAAGATGGTCATCATCACTGGCCACTAACAAATGCAAATTAAACCTGCTCTGAGATTCTTACTCCATATAGAATCACTGTCTTCAAGAAAGCAAATAATATGAAATGCTGGTGAGAGTGTGTTGAAAAGGGAACACTTCTACACAGTTGTGATCAATGTAAAGAAGTATACCACAGAAACCATTTCATGGTTTTCTCAAAAAATGTAAAATAGAAATTCCAGTGGAGCCAGATTACCCATGTTTACGGTAGCACAGTTCACAACAGCTCAGTCCTAGAAGTGATCTATATGTCCATCAACACTTAAGTGGAATGGATAATGAAAATGTAGGCATTAAATAAACTCAATGGAATACTGCTTTGCTATAAAGACGGATTGATTTAATTTCATTTTAGGAAAACGTGTGCACTTTTTCTTTTTTGGAGGAGGTGTTCAGGCAGGTCTCTATGTACTTCAGGCTGAATTTGAGTCCACTATAGCTCATGCTTGCATTGAATTTGAGGCAGTCTTCCTGATGTAGCCTCCCTATTTCTGAGATTACGGGCTTGCACCACTATTATGATTCAGAAAATGGATGCACCTTGAATCATAAAGTTAAGAGAAATGAATCAGAGACAAAAGCTGAAGTATTTGATGCTTTCTTCTATATGAGATAATAAACGTGTTAATCAGTAAAACAGTCAAATAAAAGAAGATGATAGAAATAGGTAGAGACCTTTTGTAAATGAAATGGGACTGACCATAAATGGAAAAGGTGGGTGTGTGGGCATGCAAAATATAGAAATAGAAGTGAGGTGTGTCATGTACATGTACCAACTATCCACAATGAATATATTAATTGTGAACCACAAACATGAACTAACAATAAAGGTGATTTTTCTAACAATATGGCCTCTATGTTGCTGAAGCTTTAAAGATGTCATTTTTGTTTGACACACAAGTAGCAAACATGAAATAAAAACCCAGTCCTTACTGAGATATTGGGTTAGTTGCCTGTGTCCAAAATGAGAAATGACCCAGAGAGTGACAATCAGCTTTTCCTCCAGGCCCAAATAAATTCAGCTCACCTGAGCCAAGGCCTGTGCAAAAGCAGCATAGCTTTTCCCAGGGCATCAATTGTTTATCAGGCTATTGAGACCTGTCCTCAACCCCTCCGAGCTGGAATTGCTTGTTTCCTATGGAATCACAGCAAGTGGGGTCATGATGGTCCTTTAGTGGAGTTTCTTGGAGTTTCCTTTCTAAAACAAGAAATGAGCTTTTTGTTTCATTTATTAAAGACAAGCATCATCATTATTATGATTAAAGATCACAGGAGACATAATAGTGATGCCATTTTGCTTTAAATACCCTATTCATGGTGCAGAGTACTTATTCGTTATTTATGCAGGTGTTTCTTGTGAGCACTAATCTTCAGGAATGGTCCTAATTATTAAATATGCATAAACAGTGAATAATGGATACAGTACAAGTAAAAGAAAAGAATCCACCATTGTTCACTCTTCAGTGAACTAAGATTTAAAAAAAATTCACAATGTTCTTTCCTATTATAAATTCCCACTTTCCAATATGCACATCACTGACATAAGTCCTCTTCAAAAGTCTCTTTATCAGTTACTGTGAACATACTCAGACCCTGTCCATGGCCTTCTGTTCATGTATTGTTTTTACACTGTTTGTTCTCAATGGAGCCTACATCATGATCAGAATTTAAGATCAGTTATAAGTGGTTGTTGTATTGCACACCTGTTCTCCAGTGCAGACAGACTTCACTTAAGGTTCATGTTTTGTTACTGTGATTAGGTCATAAAATGAACCGGTCATGAAATGGGAAATCATATATATGTGACATGTATATTACAATATTTAGAAATGGCCAAAGGAAACTTTAACTCGATGATTTTCCTTTTATTACATCATTGTTGCATCCTATCCTATATTGTAGAATAATGTAAAATCACAGTATTATGCTGCATAGCATGAGCAGAAATTTCACTACAACAGTACTGTATAAAACGGTACACAGTACAAAAATGGACACTGAGTGCCATAAACAAGATGTATAAAATGATAAAAAGTAAATGAAAAGTTTTAAATCTGAAGAGTTATTACAATGTTTGGTCATTAAGACAGGAATGTGTGTGCTGAGGAATCTGAACCGGAGGACAGCTGTGAGATAAGGTCAGCCTGGGCTGCATAGTGAGTTCAAAGGAAGCCTGAAATGCAGACTGAGACACTATCTTAGACAACATACAAATAAACAGATTACTTAGTTGCACCACCTCCATTGATAAGGTTTCTTGTGCTTGTGACTCATTGGTGTGTAGTGGAACATTTCTCAGTCTCTGCAAAGTCTAAGGTGGCTTCATTGTCACCCATGTTGGGTGAGCTGAATTAGATAGCAGCCCAGAGGATAATGTTTCCTTAAACCTTGAGTCCTATGGCAATAAGTATTTAGGACTATCTTCCAAGCTTTGATAAATGGTCACATTAAGAGCTAAAGTATCCCTTAAAGAATAAACATACAGATGGTGTTTTTCTATGTTACACTGCATGGGAAAAGAAAAATGACAAATTGAGTAATACAAACACAACATGTTTTATTAAAGTAACAGCATGCAGATGTTTAATGTAAAAAGATAATTAATCTCATAAATAAATAAATAAATCTTAAAGGAGATGAATAAATAGATGCTCTATCCTTCCCAGGTCATTTGGAAGAACATCTCCAGGACCAGATGAACACAGTGTTGCCCAGTACTCCTGAAAACTTTGGACAAATAAAGCATGTTATGGAGAGAAATTAAATGAGAGTCTTCAAATGGTAGAACTGTGAAAGTGTGATAAGGTTAATGACAACCATTTCCGTGTTAAACCCAGACTCATTCTTTAGTCTTGCATCTTTCTTGCCAGTTTTTCTGATGCAGAGAAGGATCTGACAATTTCTGCTCTGACCACCTCCCAGGCACAAGGGCTATAGCTCTTCTCCTTCAGGTAGACAGTGATCCTGTGGAAGTATTTCCGCACAGTCAGTCTGGAGTCCTCATGCATCACGAGAGGCTCTTCCAGCCCCACCTTCTGGGTCAGGCAGGCCTGCAGGTCACTCAGCTGTTGATGGAGGCCAGTGCAAAAGGTGTCCAGCAGGCTCTGGTTCCAGGCAGCAGATGAGTCCTCTGATCTGAAGAGGTTGAAGGTCTGCCTGGTCATCTCATGGAAGAGAGAGAGGACCTGAGCCTTCTGGACCTGCTTGCCATCAAAGTTCAGCTGGGCCAATCCAAAGTCCTGTCTGTGCTTCAGGCAGGAGAAAGTGGAAATTCTCTTCATTTGTTCCAGGAGAAGCAGGGCCCTTGCATTCCTCTGGCTGTGGGTCTGTGGCAGGGTGCACGCCAGAGAGCCTGATGCCATGATGGTGAGCACCAGCAGGGCCACCAGTCCAGACAATGGCCAGGCCATGGGTAATCCTGCTGATGCTGCTGGGCTGTGTGAAATGGATGTGTGATCCTGAACCTTTGCCTGTGGGTTCTCTGAAGACCTGGTGTGTTCAGATGACTTAAATAGGGAACTCACCAGCTTCATTTTCTGAATGCTCTTCCTTTATTTTCTACTTCTGTTTTCCTGTTCCTTTTTGCTTTCTGTACTGGGATTTTGAGTGAAGTTTCTCACCCACTTCGTTTTCATCATTGCCTTCACCGCACATGATGTATACAGTTAGATTGGGGGTGTTTTCCTAAATTAAGTTCTAATTAAAATCCATTGACCTGGATATAACTTATAAGATATCATCTCTGTGTGATATGTATATGTATATCAATAGTGTGCAATATATTTAAGTAGTGGATTCATACCTTTGAGATACACTTAATAAGACCATGACACCATTTTATTTAAGAACAATATTATGGTTGAATAAACAGAAATTTAGGCTGAAAGTGAAATTTAAAAGCTATCACAGCTTGATTCATGATACCTAAATCATGGTAGTACTCTATAAGTTCAGTGGATGAATGAGTAAGCCAGGGTGCTATTTTCATGCCACAGGGCACTACTGTGCTATAAAGTAAAATTAGACAGAAGAGGTTTCTGGGAAAGTGGATGAACTTGAGTCCTAATGTCACATGAAATAAATCAAACACACAAGTTGAATATTGTAATTTCCCTTACATGAGAAGAAGAGATTATAGATAATAAAACATAAAAGATGTAGGAGCTAGGAAAATAGATGTTACTTAAAGGTAAGGGGACCAAGAGGTGGGGAAGGTTAAGGAGAGGAAAGTGATGGAAAAACGAATCAAGTGCTAGGGATTTCGCTCAGTAGCACAGGCACTGCTTGGTAAGTGCAAGGTCATGAATTCCTATCTTCCATACCAAAAAAAGAAGAAGAAGAAGAATGAAAGAATTTAAGATATATGATGTACATGTGTCATCTGTCTCAAGCGTGTAAATATATACTGCAAACATTCCATAAAAGTAACATGATATCTCCTTATTTATAATTAACAACTTCAAAAATGTAACCTACTTTTACTATAATAATTTTACTATAATTTATGTCATGACTTTTCTTATAAAAATACACATGTTCTTATACTTTAGTTATTCTGGTTCATGTATATAATTCTATAAATTACAATGAATCACATTATATTCCTATTTTTCAAAATGTAAAAGTTACATTACTATAGTTAAATTTTTAAGTATCTTTCAAAATTGCTAAAATATTTAAATATAATGTATATATTTAACTTACAATATTAGTATGAAATACTTTAATTTTGTTTAATATGAGGAAATAAACCTTCAACTTGTTTAGATGATGGACTCTCATTTAGATATAGTAAATACTGTTTCTTCTCTAAACTGAATGTAACACGTGATGTGTCCATTATGGTTCATAGAAGTAAATACAGAATACATTTTCTCTTTCCTTCACATAATCCAGAACATATTCAACCCAAAACGTATTCAGACTTGATCCTCAGGGAAAGATCAAATCTGAAGTGCACTGAGAATCAAATACAAAAAAGCAGTGGCTGCCCAATAGTTAGAGAAGCAGAACTCAGGTATAAAATGGAGACAAAAATCTAACCAAACTCATTCATGGTCCAGAGAATTGCAGCAGCTACTTTGAGTATCTTTCATGCAACAATGTCTGTGTTTTTTAAATTATATGCAAATCTATGCAAAATGAGTTCTAAGGAATTTTATTAACTTATTGCATTTGTAGGACTACAGTGCATTGTAATACCTCAAGGTGTCATAGTCTGACTAATGAGTTTAGACACACATGGGAGTTATATCGTCCCCAAGAAAATATGTGTTTTACAATGTTGTTCATACTGATTTGGATTAGATTGATCTTTTCAAAATTTGCATTAGGACTTAAATAACTCAATGATGTAGGTATAATAAAGTAAATAGGCTATTTCACTATCATTTGTATCAAGAAACAGAAGAGATAGTAACACTTCCTTTTTTCATAGAAAGTAACAGTTGTTTCTTTTTTTAATGTGCTGACTGTTGACAAATAGAAAACAAAATTGTGTGTTAAAGTCAAAAAAATAATGAGTGGGAAAGGAATATCCTGCTGGGGGATTTAATGACAAATGCAACTTAATCCTTCATACCCAACAAGATGGAGAACAAGTTTTGGTTGAAAGCATAGGAAGATGTTTGAAGCAAAGCAGATATATGTAGCAAGAACTTGTGGCTCAATGATCAGTGATTATTCCCTGTTGCTTGTTATAAGTCAGACACTAATCTTAGCACTTAGTCAATCAATTCTCATTTGTTCCTGAGAACAGGAACCTAGGATTTCATACCTAGTGAAAGCCTATCCTGTGCCCTGACCTAGTACTAGGCCAATGGAGACATCAGTGACTAAGGCACACACTGAGCAGTTCCACTCTTATTCCCATTTACAACAGGAACCATGAAAGCACAGGGAGCCCAGGAACTATGCAGTCACTGTTGACTCCAACATGAGAGAAAATACCAGTCTGAATCTTCAACTGTCACCTGCTATCTGGGGATATTTCTGAACAGAAGAACCAGAGCTGCCTCTGGACTGATCTGTATGTTCCAGTAAGTTGACTCCTTCTGGTGAAATGGCAGCTTCTTTCTCTTCAGATCTCCTCATTGTCCTTGTCTGAAAAGTGCTATTTGGTTAAGTCAGACATGGTGCTTAGTAAACTTGTTCATTCCATGGACATGTCTTGTTGTCTAGTTTTTGTCTTCTTCAGAGTATATGTTCATTAATTTGAATATATTTGTTAAAATTTTGTGCACCCTAGCTATAAGTCTGAGGACATGAGCTGAAGATAAATGAAATAAGGAACTAAATAGAATGGAATGAGAAAGCTATGGCTCAGATTTCACAGCTCTAAAGTTTCTCTGCATAGATTAGTACCATGAAAACTGTAGGATACCTGGAGAATTGAAGAGTGGAGCATGTTGCAAGATGACTCAGTTGAGAAACCCTGTGGCTTCCCATCTAGTCAGTTACTTGGTACCTTTTATTTATAGGGAAATAGCCTTGGCTTCTGTTTTAATTATACGAAGTTCCCTTAAGTATTTGGTCTCAAATACTGTGCAGTGTCACAATAGATGTAAAGAAGAGGGCTTGGGATCAAAAGAGTATTTTTGCAGATGTAGAAAAAATTTCACAAAAACAGCGTAGAACTGAAGCTAGTGTGCCTTTGACTTGTGCTTTTTTCAATGGATCTTCACTAATGTAATTACAGTGAATTATCTTTTGGAGCTTTTTGGATCTCCTCATACAAAAATGCTGAATAATGACTTGATACTTTTATGTATGTCAACTGAGAGGGCTTTAAATTCTCTATTTTCATTGGATGCCTGAAATTTGCCCTTCAAAATTACACCCTTATTAAGCTTGAAATCCAAATGCATTTTGAGTCCCTGGTTCAATGCTTTTTGCCAGAGACTTTTCCCAATGTTCTTTTTTCATTGTTGTATTCTCTTGTCTAACCTTTCGTAGGTCAGAAATATAGGTTTTATTAACTGAGCCATTGCCTTTTTAGCCTTCATATCTATAATTTACATGACTCCTTTAAGCAGTGAAATCATCTTATCAAATGGATGTAGGGTTGTTCAACCTCTATCACTTTAGGACCTGTGGTATATATAGATATAGACATAGACATAGACATAGATATAGATATAGATATAGATATAGATATAGATATGGATATAGATATGGATATAGATATAGATATTTTCCATTTTACAGGTAGTGTGGATTGAACCAAGGCCTTTTACATTGAGAATAGGCACAGCCCTTTTTTACTTTTTATGCTGAGACAGAGCATCACTAACTATTTATGAATAATTGGTACCCAGACTGGATTCAATCTCCCACAATGCTAGGATCATACCAGTCAACACTTATGAGAGGAAAACTGATTGTTATTTCTAGAGAAATAACATCACTACATACTAAACATATGAATTGATATGGAATAGCTGTATGGATGGTTTTTTATTCATCAAAGTTCTTTAATGAGTTTATTGCAAGATTATATTGAAGGTTTACAAAAGAGAACAATTAGTTGAGTTGGAGAACTGTTTCATCAGATTTCAATTTGTGTCAATTAGAGTATTAGTGAGAAACCAAGGACTGGGTAGTAATCAAAGACTCATTTGCTTCTATTGTGACAGTGATCTTCAAGAATGGGCAAAAAGTGCTGTATCCATGCTTTCCTTATTTCCTCACATGTTAAGGACAGAATTTTAATTTCTTAATGTGGCCCAAGTCCTTCTCTCTATACTGTTAATATATATTCATGATGCTTTAACTGAAAATAGCAAAACATGTCTTATATGTAAAATTGCCTTTTGACTTTGGTAGAAAATTATTTTCATAAAATGAATTCTAAATTAAATTCAGTTGTTTTTCCTGTTAAAAGTATCATTAGTACATTGTTGTACTAATGAAGGATGGTGTTATTGAAAGAACTTGTCATTGCTTCACCCAGTTACAATTTCTCTTCCATTTTGTTGGGCATTAAGTATCAGATGAGAATACATGTGGACTAATTAAGTATGGAAGGAAGTGATTTTTTTTTTTTTTTTTGCCTAGAGTGTAAGGCCATGAAAACACATGGCCTTCTGATTCACTAGAGCTTTCCCCCCTGTAAGCGAAGTGCCATAGGCACCTTTGCAGTCATATGTGGAAGATGTCAAGGCCAAAACATTGACATCACTTACATACAGGAGTCACCACATGAGTGTATGCTGAAGAACCACTGATGTGAACAGGAATTCATGCACTGAGCTCTAATGTAGAAGAAACAAACACTGGCACTGCGTTCTAATCACTAGAGGTTTTATAATCTATCAATTTGATGACAGATATGTTTTAAAAGTGTCCTAATAATATTTCTTACAAAAATATCAGACTCTAGAACTTCTGATATTCCTATAGAATTTCTAATGAAACATCAGAAACTATAACATGATTGGTAGAAAACAAAGGACGTATTTTCTACATAGGTGTTCATTCATAATGAATAATGCCCAGTATATGGTGCAAACAATGTCATGTTTGGATTTCAGATATATTTTAGCTGCAACAAAACCTGAGCTGAGTTTGCCTTTGGGACTCTGAAAAATTAGAGCAGGGCTAGAGACAAAAATAGAGCTTGCTTCTTCACTTGCTACCTTTTCCCAGGGAAGTGCTAAGAGAGAAGCAGTGAGGAATGTCTTCCCTGTCTATCTCCCAAGGTGAGGAACTGTATTCCTTTTTTGTTTAGGGCACAGATGATTCCTTTCAAATTTTTCAGGAAAGCAAATCCCAAGGATAGAGAAACCAAGTTTCTGCCTGTGTCATCTTTAGGTGTTCCTGCATCTGAGCTAGGTTCCTGAAGTGTAGTTCACATACAGCCTCAACCTCAACAGCAAGCTTGTCCTGGCAGATGAGATGGGAGATATGCTGCCTTAGTTGGCTGGTGTCTTGTTGAGTTTCAGGAAAGTATCTCCATTTTTCCAAGGTGAGCAGAAACCCGTTGTGCCCTTTAGGCATTTCTGAGACGGATCACTAGCAGCTCCATAGGAGCAGACCTGCTTCCCTGGCTTCCAGGCCCCAGGGCAGGCTCCAGGGAAGTGAGCAGGTAGGGCTGTAGCAGGGCCTCCTTCCCTGCTGCCCTCAGGAGACAGCTGTAGTCCTCTGAGCGCTCCGAGCTTCAGCGGGAGGCCGGGAGGGGGCGCGCGGGGACCGCCGCAGGAGGCAGCGGCCTGGGTGGGGGAGGGCGGAGCTGTGGGTCCCGAGGGAAGTGGGAAGCTGCGCGGCTGAGTCGTGGTTCCCCCGGGTGCTGTCCCCCGCGAGGCTGCTGCGTGGTTCCTCCCTCAGGTTCGGAGCTGAAGCAGTGAGTCTGAGGAACCGGGCGTCCGGAGCGGCCCGGCAGCGGCTCAGCCACAGCACCGCTGGTCTGGGCCCGGGCGGCGTTTCCAGACCTCTCTGTGAGGAGGCGCGATTCTGGCCCGGAGCCCTT